CCAGCCTCACATTCCAAAATGAATATTTTTTTCTGTATTGTAGGCAACCAACTAGCTTCAATTTATAGACCTCTATTATCTTCTGGTACAGAAATTAATATTATGTCAGTTATTTTAGAACTGACAAAAAATTTCTCAGCTGTACTGTGCTTTCTTGGATGACTAAAATTGCCTTGGTTAAAAATTCCTGTACCTTTTCTCTCCCAGGAGGTATTAATAAATGTTGAACCTCTTAAAATACAGGTGATGGGTAGTGAAGTTGTATTTTCTACTTCAGCAGAAACAGCAGACAAACAGCTTTTATTTGTTCTTCCTTATCCCAGGAATAAATTGCAAAAAGTCTAGGCTGGAATGCTCCCAACTTGGTGTGGCTCTAGTCCCAAAAGAGTAGGTGGCCATGGAGGTCCTCTTTCCTGTCACATTTTTCCTGCAGGAGGTTTGCAGGGTTACCTGAGGCTCTGAGCTTTCTTCTCTGCTGGACATCAAGCTGAATGTTACACTGGCGTAATTTTTTCAATATGTCTTTTCAGGCTGATTATCAAGCTTTTTTTCCACCTCTTCTTCATGCTCTGCAAGACAAGACCTGACAGAAGAAAAAGGATTGAGTGGAATACTGTAAATTCCAGATTTGTTGTGTGATTTTGTTGCACAGTAATGAGATACGAGTTAAAAGTCAAACTCCGAGTGACAATTGATTCTTTCCCCCAACCCTACCAAAGAAACACTCAAAAACATCAGGCTCAATAGAGCTCTCAGAGAAAAGTGAGGGACTCTGCCTGAGTGAATGGCTTTTGTGGGTGCCTAGCATCTGGCCAGTGTCAAACCATGACAGTCACCAAGGAAAATATCAGTGGAATCCTTTTGTTCCTCTGTAGTACTTGAATTACAGAGAGTTTGGGGTCATTGAGCTGCTTTTGTGCTTTGTGGTAATTGAATCTGTTATCTCTGATAATGTAACTAAGGGAAGCACAAACCATGTCTGTCCCTGCACACTTCAGAAGCTGTCCTTGTCTGGTACATAGAGCTGCACAGGCTGCTTCCAGAAATATTCTGGGTATTGAAGCAGTTTAACTGGTTTGTTTTACTGTGATTTCAATGCTAGGGGGATGGAGGGCTTGTGCTTTGAGCCCAGTTTCTCTTCAGTCAAATGACTCTTTCTCCCCAAGTTGTTTTGGCCGGGTCAGAACATGGAGGGCCCGACTCAGTAGTGCTTGAGAGCAGCAGTGTGTGTGTGCACACAGCTGGAGTTGTAGGTGGGTTCAGGACCTGCCCTCTCAGCAGACAGATGCATGTCAGAAGGGGGAGGACACTGGGGACATGTCCAGGATTGCTAAAAGCGTGATGGTGAATAATGCTTTTATCCTGCCACTTTTTCTCTCAAATACTGTGAGATCACATCTTACCTTTGTGCAGTGTGTTTGTTTTCATGAGCAGCACTTGCTTTAGTGAAGCTGCTTAAAGTGCCTGAGCTACAGCACAGCTGGCAAGGCTGGTTGGTTGACCTGGGTGTTTGCCTGCTTGCACAGAGCTGCCGTGCTTGACAAGAAGAGAGTTTTTCAAGAGCACCTGACTTGGCTGGGATAAGTGAACGGATTTTTGTGCCACCCAAATTTTACAGATTAATAATGGCCACGTGCTCCTGCTTGGAAGTTCTTATATTGTCTTTCTGGTGCATCAAGGTGTTAACTGGTAGTATTGATGGGAGTCCTGTTCCCAGACAGCTGCTCCAAGGAGACGGGATGGTCTGGACTGTCCATAGCACAGATGACCCAAGATAATGTCCATGGAGACTCTAGAGTGTAGAGCAGCTGTTGATATTGTGCAGGTTGCACTGTGAATGGTTGCCAAAATGTCATTCTTCATTTCAATTGCATGCATGTAACTACAGCCCACTGCATTCCTGCTTTCTTGTTGCTATTATTCATTTTTATGATGCTTCATGGAGGTTGCCATCTTTAGTAAAATTTGAACATAATGTTCCTTTTATTCTCTTTCCTAAAGTGAGTCTTACTTTTCACCTGAGGGAGTGGCAGGATAAGTCAGTGTTCCTCATCCCCTCCTGACATTTGTGTCAGCAACAGTGAGTCTGTCACTCCTCTGACAGCACCCTGTTGTCCCTTGCCTCTCTCAGTTTCTACCTTTGTATCCACTGCTGCTCCCTGCTCCCACTCTGCCTCTTCGAGCCTGTCAGTTGTGCCTCCAGGAGGGGAACCCTCACCTCCAAACTCAGTAAGAACATGTGGAAGTCCTGTGTAGGAGTTGAGTTCCTGAAAACAAACAAAAAAAAAAAAGATAGAAGGTCCAAATCTGCTCACTGGGTGACAGAAGTGATATGGAGAGAGGTGTGTGTGATCTGATGATGTGGCAGCAGTCTCAGGCACCACTGGCACATCCTTTCACTTATCCCAGCTCGAGGAGTTGGAAACTCTTGATGTTCCAGCAGTGCTGTTTGCTATGCTGCTGTTCAGTGTGCAATGACTGGAACAAAGTGGCTGGTTACTTTGTAGATTAAAGCTCATGAAAATTAAATTTGCTTCTATTGTAGCTTCTTTGGGTTTCTGTGGCACCCTGGCACCAATACCTGTTGGTCTGAATTCACCAATTTGCTTTCTGCACTGGATGCTGAAGATGTTTGTAAGGTCTAATGGAATTTTGCCTCCTGCATGGTTCCTGAGGGAAGGCTTGTGGCTAGCTGCTGTGTGGTGGTGCTTGGGTTGGGGTGTTAAAACTAATGGATGTGTTTGTTTATTCAGGGAGAAATAAAACCAGCTCTGCTGTCGGTGGGTCACAGATTCTGGCCGAAAGAAGCAGCCGGGAAGGATCTGCCCAGAGGATGCCGCGACAGCCGAGCGCGAGCCGCATGCAGAAGGCTGGAACCTCTGGCAAGAGCAGTGGGGGAGGCAACAGTGCCTAAATAAGGCCTTGGAACAGATGGATTTGGATCCTTGAGAGTGTATATATATTGTGCTTGTTAAAGCTGCTTGTGTTGTATGTATTAACCTAAAAACATGATTTGTAATACAGGGAACAGAGCTGTTGGTTCTTATTTCCCAAACTTCGTTTGGCCACTTTAACTGCCAGGAAATGTTCCTGCATTTGGCTTGCCCTGGTTCACCATGTGCCTGTTTACAGCATTCCAGCACCTATATCTGAAACCAGATTGATCTCTCCCAAAGATGGGAAATTCCATGTTCAGTCCTCCCAGTGATGCTGATGTGATTATTCATTTACAAAGCATTGCAGCCCCCTTTGCCTCAGGAGCCAGGTCAAACCAGGAGGTTGTGCCAGATAAGGGAGGGAACAGCTTCATCACTTAAGGCAAGAAATATAAAACAGGTGAGTGGGTTTCTTGGAGCTCAGGTGTTACCATACATGGTTCCAGAGGGTTCTCCAGGCAGTAGGGTGTCTCCTAATGGCTCTGGGAGCTTAGGGGCTGTTGATGAATTCTATGTCCCTAATTAGGAGAAAATGCGTCCATTCTATGACAGTTAGATAGTGATTCCTAAACTCAAGATCTACCTGTTTCAACAGGTGCTAAAATGAGATTTTCAAGGTCTGGGTTTCTCCTACCGTGATAAATAATGAAATGCAGCTGCTCCCCTTGGTAAAACTGGGGTGGTGGAGTTCAGAGGCCTGAGGGGAGGTAGCCAGGCACAAGTTATGGTCCCAATGCTGGGCATCAGAAGTGCAGATGGCCTCTGTGGGGATCTGCTTCATACAGTCCCAGGGGATCAAGCCCTGGCGTGAAGTGGCATCCGAGGAAGAAGGTTGATATTCTAGAATATCAATGCTCAAGAGTGGTCCCACCTGAGAACCCAGAGCTGCATCCCATGCCTGAGCTCCAGCTCCAGCCCTGACATCCCTCTTGGAGCCACTTCCCTGGCCCCTGTCACCCCCCACCACATGTTCAGCCCCTCTCGTAACCTCAGCCTTGTTCCCTCCAGGCTCTGCAGAGCTGGAGGTGCTGCTGGGAGCTGCAGTGACCTCGGATGGGTGCAGCACCTTGGGGCAGGGGCTGTCCTCTGTGGCACTTCAGCTCAATGTCCTGGGGGCTGTAGGTCCCCTGAGCTTTCCAGGGACACTGAAAGGAATAGGGCAGGATGTGGGATGTTTTTCAGGTGTGTTAGGATCAACCTGTACCACATGAGACAGCATTAGGTTATGTGATTAAAAGCTCATCTCCTAGAATGAAGCAGGGAAAGGTGGAGTAGCCCTGGGAAACTCCACCATGCCAGGGATTCCCTGTCCCAGCTTCTCCCAGGGCTCTTTTTGGGCTCAGAGGTGGCTCCCAGCCACAGGGTGAATGGAACCACTCTGCAGGTCACATCTGGTCCCTCATGGGGGGCAAAGGATGGGTCCGGGATACATCCTTCACCATTTGGGTTTTTTGGAGGCGGCCGCCCCCTCAGGGCCACAGGCCCTTGAACACAAACACTGTCCCTTTTCCCTGTGAAAGAAAACTCGCCAGCCCAGGTTCCTGATGTCAGTTTGCAGGGTGCTCTTGGGACTGTCAGGGCAGCACAAGTTTGAGGTGGTGGCAGGTTGGCTCTGGGCCACATCCTTCTCTGTTCAGAATTTCAGGAGGATACAAGGAAAGAGCTTTTTCAGATTGTGTCTTATGGGATGTTCAGGGGAGGAATGAAATGTGAGGAAAAGGAGGGACCAAGGTGGTTTTGGGGAGCCATAAATGTGGGAAAATAGAGGGATATGGATATGATGGCCTGGGTGTCCTCTAATGTCCATCTCCCATTCTGGGATTACAGACACAGTCTGTGCCTCCTGGGCTTACACGCTCAGCCTCGCTGTTGGCTGAAAGTGGGGGACATGGACATTTGTCACTCTTGGGGTCCATCAGGTGCATGGGCAGGACACTGACTGATGTACTTCCTGTGCACACCTGGTTTCTCACAATTACTCACTTTTTAAATGGGCAATGTTGACTGTAGCATTGCCAAGGCAACTTATAAAATCCACAGATAATTTTATGAGATTTGTCTTATAAAGTAGTTAAAGCAGATAAGCAAATCAAACTAATTAAAGCTCTGTCAATATTTGCACAGATATGTGTGATGTCAAGTGGAATTTGTACTACCTGAGTGACTTCAGAGTTCTCAAGATTTTAGAAGAGTAACGCAGAATGTGCAAACACTCACCCAATAAAGGCTCACCCAATAAGGGCTCTCAATCTCACAGAGTGACCTTGGGCAGCATCCTGACACAAGGTGTGGGACCCCAACTGTCCTTCTCTCATGACAACTGCTGCACTGCCCTGTCGGCCCACCAAAGCTCCATCTCTACCCCAGCTGATTCTTCTCTTTCCTCACATGGCCACAATAAACCTTGCTGGCCGAGGTCTGACAGCACCAGCAGGTGCAATGGATAGTGCTGCACACCTGAATCCAGCCATGGCACAGCTGAGATCAGTCCCAGGTCTGGAGGGCTGCTGGAGACAGTGCACCTGCCATTAGCAGAAGTGAAGTTTATCCTTACCTGGAATGAACATCTGGAAAAGGAGGAGTAAGGAAAACATAGGGAGAGCCTAGAAGCTCTCCCAATGGACCACCTGCCAGGACTGAGCAGCACAGGGAGGATCCCTGTTTTCCTACAGACTATTTCATTGCCAAAAAAGGCAGGGCCGGACGGTACGGGAAAAAAAAGAAGATGACAGTGGAGAAAAAGCCAGGATGGCCCGTACGGGGATCGAACCCGCGACCTTGGCGTTATTAGCACCACGCTCTAACCGACTGAGCTAACCGGCCCCGCTGCTGCGGCTGCCGCGCCGCCACCTGGTGGCCCGGCGACAGCTCCGCCGCCCAAGAAAACGGAAGCAAAACGAAGCTAGCAGAGGATGGTTTCGATCCATCGACCTCTGGGTTATGGGCCCAGCACGCTTCCGCTGCGCCACTCTGCTGCCTAGATGGTGAGAATCTACAAGTATATATTGCCATCTGCAACTCCGCCCGTCCTGCAGCCCCGGCAGCGCCGACAGCCTGCGTAGGGTGACAGGAACACCGCGTTAGCCCAAAAACGGGGCACAGCGAATTAATGCACTGTGCTGCCCCACTTGCTGTTATAGCTTTGACCTCCTCCCAGGAACCACCGGCTAAGTCCCCACTGTGCTGCTGAAAGCGGAACAGAGACAAAGCCCATCTGGTATCTTCTGCTTTTTGGCTTGCCTGGTAGGAGCCACCATTCACCCGTGGTATACAACCACCCGTCCGTCACATTTTAGGAAAACAGGCAAGCGTCTTATGCGGAATATATAGGAAGCTAGGTGGGTGGATTTTTGCACAAGTTTCTCACAAATTCGGGAGCATGATTTCCCAAATCGCTGTCAGTGGGAGATATAATTTGGAATAAAAGCTTAGATGAGAACATAAAGCCTGGGACTGGGAATACTCAGCACATCACAAGCCTTGTGTCTGCCTTGGACAGTACTGCTGTGTTCACAGCTGCTCTGTGGCAGCAGGACTCCGGCATAAAACGAGGATGTGCTGTCAGCATTGCAATGTGACTCATTTTGAGGAGAAGCTGAGGATTGCACCCACATACTTACCCAACATGGAGCATGTTTTGCCCTGAGGGGTTGCTGGCTGTGATTTCATCCCTCTTCGGTCCCACAGCCTGGGGGACCTGGGAGGCTGGTGTTTTGCCACATCAGTGTTAACACAAATTTTTTTGGCCAAACTTTTTCCTTTTCTTGGTCCTGGAGTGACCATCCCCCAAAGGTTGTTGACCCTATTGGGATGTTCCTGCCTGATACCGATACCATCAGTATCTTGCCCCCGGGGATACTGAAGTATGTACCAAGGCCATGCTCATAGAAAGGGACCTCTCACCTCTGAGACACTTTTGGGTCCAAGAACTGAGCCACTGCAGATGCTAATGAAGGTGGAGAAGCCACCTTAATTTTCTTGGTTTGAAGGACACGTATCTGTTAAGGAAGGTGGGGACCTTCTTTGAAATGGAAAAAAATACGATCCTCTTCCCAATTATTATAACTTTGAAATCCAGGGGCTTTCACGCAGAGCTCTGGGAAAAGCAGCTCCTCACGGTGCGTGTCTGTGCAAAGCCGAGCCTGGCTCCGGCTCCGGTACCGAGCCCGGCTCCGGTACCGAGCCCGGCTCCGGCTCCGGTACCGAGCCCGGCTCCGGCTCCGGCTCCAAGCCCGGCTCCGGCTCCGGTACCGAGCCCGGCGCGATCCCGGCCCGGCCGCTGCGGCTGCGGCGCGCTCCGCTGGCTGCAGTTCCGGGCTGGAGCAGGAGCCGTGGGGCAGGGAGGAGAGGTGTGTGAATGCTCTCATTTGTATAAATTCTCTCACTCCTGTGGATGCAAATGTCTGCTGGCCTGGCCGGCTGCCGGGCTCTCGCGGAGCTCTCTCTCACTCCAGCTCCTCGGGAGGACAGGGGGTCAAAATGAGGTGAAAAATCTCATGGGTCAACATAAAGACAGGGAGATTATTGACTGATTACCATGTGGGCAAACTACAGTGATTTGGGGGAAAATTAGCTTACTTCCTTGTCAATCAAAATAGATTGGATAGTAAAAAACAAAACCAAAACTACATCACCTTTCCCCTACCTTCCCTTTTTTCCATTTCATGGTATTTTTATTGATGATCTGGACAAGGGGGTTGAGTGCACCTTCAGTAAATTTGCAGATAAAGCTGGAGGGCGTGTGGATCTGTGGGGGGCAGGGAGCCTCTGCAGGGGGATCTGGACAGGCTGGATTGATGGGCCAAGGCCAATGGTTTGCGGCTCAACAAGGTGAATTGCTGGGTCCTGTGGTTATATCACAAGTCCCTGGGACACTCCAGGCTGGGGCAGTGGCTGGAAAGGGCCTGGAGGGGAAGGACTTGGGAATGCTGGCCAATAACAGATGAACAGATGAAAATGAACCCAGGTGTGTCCAGGCAGGCAAGAAGACCAATGGTCCCTGGTCTGTACCAGCCATAGGATGTCCAGCAGGACCAGGACAGTGAGCGGCCCTGTGCGCTGGTGAGGCCACACCTCCAATCCTGGGGTCAGT